TTTTTTCTTTCACATCAAGTGGGGTCCATGACTGGAAAGAGACATAAAAAATGTGTGATTTGATACAAAGAATGCATTTTTTTGTAGAAAAATTGTTACCAAACGAAGCCTTAATCACTGTTTGGTATAAATTAAAATTTAGATTTTAATCTAAAAAATTAAAGTCAATAGTTAATTTTAACTCAATTTTTAATGGGTCTTACAACTTTTCAATTACACATTTCATCAAATTCTATCAAAATCTAATAAAAATCTGATTGAAATTCCCACCAAACAGAAGCTTAATTTTATCTCTCTTAACCTATCATTTAGTACCACCTAAAATTGGTGTTATATTGGTGTAGTAATACTATATGACATTATTTTATTAGATGAGTTACTTGATTATGGAAAACATGTTAGAGACATAGTTCTAAATATTGAGAATTGGGAACTTTGCCCATCTTAATTTCTTAAAATTTATTTTCAATCACATATTTTATAGAAATCGTAATTTTTATTAACCACACATTTTATCTAATTTTAACAAACTTATTAAAAATATGATGTTTATCAAAACCAAGTAGGGGCTTTAATTATAGAGTAATGTTACTTGTACATAATTATTTATAGAAGGAGAAAAAACAATTTGGAAGCGATAGAGAAAGTAAAAAATAAAAAATGAAATTGGTTAAATTTTAATATAATGTCATGTCATCAATCTATGTATCAATCTGTAAATGATAATGTGCATGTAGCATTACACTTAATTTTATAGTACTAAGAGCAATAAAAACACAGAAAAGAAATAAAGACATAAAATAACATGCAAGATTTATAGAAATTCATATTAAGGTGAGACTACGTCATCGTCAAAGTTGTAGTAATTCACTATGACGAAGAGATATTTAAAAGAGAAAATCGTGCACTCTATTTTTTTTCCAACCCCTCACTCTCTTTTTAATGATAGAACAAAATCTTAATTAAGATTTGCTAAAAACGAAATCAAAATTCTAAGTTTTCAAATATAAATCCATTATTTGACAACCATTAAAATAAAATTCATTTTTTTTCCTTAAACTCATTTTCAACCACATATTCTCACGATAAAACATTTTGTACGAAAATTTTAATTTTTTTTTCACTTTTTAACCACACATTCTTAGGGATGTCAACGAGTCAAGTCGAACCGACTCAGGCTCAACTCGAGTAAAAAAAGTTCAGGCTTTTTTGGCCTGAGTTGAGCCGAGTTTTTGCTCAGTCAAAAAAATAGGCTCAACCTGACTAGCTTGCGATTCTTTTTTAAATACACTTTGCCTGCAATATAACACATACAGCTACTGCTACTCGTAGCTTTTAATTATTATTATTATTATTATTATTATTATTAAGGCTCGATTTTTGACAGGTCGAAAATAGCCGGTGACACAAGTTTGCCCGTGTTGCTAAGACTCGGGTCGAAACCCAAAATGGAGTTCAGCTGGAGTTCGACCCGAGCCTAGACTTGGTTTTACTGAGCCTTGAGTCAGGCAGCTCAAAATTTTCTCGTACAGAGCCATGGGCTGTCGAGTTGGATAATCAAATTGACACCACTACATTCTTCAAAAATTATTATTCTAAAACTCTTTTTTTTTTTTTAAATAATAATTTTAATGATGTCAAATAAGGACTTTATATTCTAGGAAGAAAAATGCTATTCATCCCCAATGGGGATGCATCCTCAATCTATGTGGATACAAATGATAGGTGAAATTAAATGACTTATTTAATTTCACCTATCATTTAATGCCACATAGACTGCGGATGCATCCTCACTGTGGACGAATAGCATTTCTTTTCTAGGAAAGTGTCAGTTTCAAAGTAGTAGGTAGAGATTCATAGGCACTATATTACAGTACCAAAAGTCAGATTACCATTTATGAGTTGAATAATGCTATTTCACCACTTTGGGTGACACGGTGGGTGACAAGATGATGTGGAAAGGGAGGGAAATTCAAAGTGAAAACAAAATCAGCTTGAAGCAAATGAAGATGGATGGGCCATAATTAGAAACCAGGCAAGCCCATATAGCTATCCTAATTGTAAATGAAAACAAAATCAGCTTGAAGCGGGCAAACCCAATTTTTTTCACGGTATAGACACTGAACTCATCATCCGGAGAAGAACACTAGCTGGAAGCGAAGAACACCTGCTGGAATCTGTATTGTTCGATTTTATTTTGTGCAACTTCAGTAAACTCACCAAGAATAGAAGAACATCAGTTGGAATAGGAGAACAACACCAGCTGGACAGAATCTGTGAAGATGGCAGAAAAGGGTAATCGTATGCATTTTTTAATTTTTTCAGACAGTGCATGAGTTGTTCAGTTATTTGGATATGGACATGGGCTAAGCTTCACCTCTGTTGTTAAAGTCGTATCATTTTGGTTGGCTTATGAGTTGTTTAATTTTTTTGGTTGTTTAATTAGTTGGTTGTTTAATTTTTTTGGCCGATTCCTATAGTTGATGAGAAAGATGACGAATTAGAGAAGATGAATTACTTTAGTGTAGCGAATGTATTTTTCAATTCAAAGTTGAAGTGTTATGAATTTCATATGGTTTTGGTTGCCACCCTTACATGAAATAAATTGAACATTATTGCAAGTTTCAATTGTGGTTTTAGAAATGATTTCGTTGTTATCTGTTGTTTGACATTATAATTGATTACTATGTTGTAGGGAAAGAAATCTCAGAATATGTGGATGATGTTATTTTGGTGGAGTCCGATAACGATGTTGCTATTAAAAATATGGATTTAATGGTTGACGATATGGTAAGGGGAGATATTGCGAAGGTGCCTGAGGTGGGTATGAAGTTTGATGATGAAAATGAAATGTTTGAATTTTACAAAAGATATGCGTACGACATAGGCTTCCCAGTTAGGAAAAGGAACTCGAAAAAGGATGATGATGGAGTATTGAGATATATTACATTTGTTTGTAGTCGAAAAAGGGAACAAAATAAGAAATAGAAGCAGTACTTTGAAGCCGCAACCAACCATTCAGAGTGGATGTAAAGCCAGGATCACTGCATCTTTAGATAGTCGCGGAGTATGGAGAATTAACACAGTACGCCTCGAGCACAATCATAGCACAAGTCCTACGAAATCAAGGCTATATCGATGCAATCGAGAATTGAGTGAACATGTGAAACGGCGTCTTCAGGTAAATGACATCGCAGGAATTCCGTTGCACAAAAGTTACAAATCTGCTGTCGTTGAAGCTGATGGGTATGAGAAGATGACTTGCATTGAAAAGGA